TCTAACCTCCGGGCCGGCCCAATGTGTTTGTGTATAAAAATAATATAATTCAGCCCAATTTCTTTCTTTTAAATGGAGTCTGCTTGTCTTTCATTCACAGCCCAATTAATATATAGCAATTTAATTCTAACTAAACTACTCTCCTGCCAATTGTCGTCCACTTCCAAATGCTTAATACATATTTTATCTTCAAGACCTCACTTCTTTCCAAAATCATGCACTCCAATTAATCTTCAATTGCTTCAAGTCAACTCCAATTAAACTCCAAATAACATCTTTTCACATAAATTGTATCCAAGTTGGAATTTTCCTACAATTATCATAATTTACACAATTAAGTATATAAATCGCTCAATTATATATAAATAAATAAGAATAGAAGTCGAGACAAGCACATAAAATGCACTTATCATGAACTTTAATAAAATCAGCATTCTTTATCTTTTTAACAACCTTAGCATTTTAGAGTTTTTTCGTTAGCTTGGTCAGGAACATCTTAAGCTTGTTCACGATACAATTAATTTTGAACTATGAGAACATCTTTAGGAGAGTCTCTAAAGCCACGTCAACATGCATCTTCGATTTGATTTCAACTCCTAAATCTTGAGTCACGTTACATTGAGTGATCAATTCAAGCATATGATCTCTCATAGGCTTCCATGGATTCATGTGCATGTTCATGGTAGACCTAATGGTGGCCAGTCGAGTCAGATGACGATGGTGTCTAACCATCTCCTGAAGATTTGTCATAATCTGAGATGTATAGAATTTGATTTTCTAAGTATGTACAGAATAATGAACTCACTGAAGCATGACAAACTATAAATGGGAGATGAAAATATGCTAAAGGAAAATAAAAAGCATGCAAAATGTGTACCTAGAAGATGATTTGATAGGCTTTAGAAGGAGAAATAAAATAGGTCACTGGAAAACACTTTTAGCATCTTCTACACAATGGTCGAAAAAGAGAATTGTTGACCCCGAAAAATGAACCAACAGATGCCGAGCCCACTCGCCAAGCCAAGGAAGTTCCAACGCGTTTCTACCGGTGAGGCGGTGAGAAAAATAGACGTGAACGCGGAGATGCCCTGCGGCAAGAGACAAAAGTGTTCGAGCTCCGGCGGGTGTAACGAGGATGATCGCGCTAACAACGATCACCAATCAATATGCAATCTATTCGACAAAAACAAAAGGCTAAATATGAATATGTGGAAGGATGGATGACATGTGTGTTTATGAATGTTAAATTACACGTTAAAATTTGTATCTATTTGAAATGTTTTCAAAGGGAAGATGATCGCTCCAATGTTTGTAAGAATTATTTGTTTACTTCAATAATCAAGAATGATCAAGAACACAAGATTCCAACTTTCAAAAATCCAAACTCCTCTAAGTTTCAAAGAGAACCTATTTATATTACCTTGACCGATGTGGTGTCCGTTGGATCAGAACCACGTGGCCTCATCTCCTTAACTCAAGCTTCACATCACTGTTTATTCACACAATTATTATGCTGATAATGGGTTAACCGCCTTATACAATAGGCTGACACACCTGCATTTTTATTACAAGTGTTACATTAGTCACTTTAGAAAGATCTTCAAATGTGTTGTAAGATACAGCATCGATTTCATTAGTTTATGATGATTTGAGAGCCTCGAAGGATCTTTATGTTGGTCCTTCAAGTGAAGAGTTTCGACTTCTTTCTTTGTTTCCTTGGGCAGCGTTTCAATCCAAGTCACAGTGTTTCGTCCGTTGAGACAGTGCCTCGGTAGGTGCATCAGCAAATTGCACTATTTCTGCATTTGACCATTTGGGTACTTGATGGCTTTTCTCGCTAACTTTCTACATACGTGGATTGCTACGTTGTAAAATTGACTTTGAGCCTCGGTGGCAAGGCGTAACAAGAATCTTAAACTAAAAGGAGAAAACCACAAATGCAAGAGTATTGGAAGAGTAAGAAACTATCACAATGCCAAAGATGGCATATATATAGTTTACGTGAATAGATTCTAGCCATTGGAACCCACCAAGATTTATCTGGCCACTCAGACCCAAAGAAATCCTAGTCGTTGAATACAAAAAGGCGCCAAATATATTCAAACAAACAGATAAGAACGTGTTTGCCATGCGCACATTATATGCACGCATGCATGCAGCTTTAAAAACGTAACAATCCAATTGATACATACAATGACATATACAATTATTGAAGTGTCCTTTTACTTGACCACACGTGAGCCTCCATTAATGAGCCAATCAACCTTGGTAACTAATGTATCTAAACCCCTGCTTTACACACATTTCACAAGTTTGTAGCTCAACACAAATAGTTAAACTCGAACTTCATGGACTACTAAGAGATATTTACAGGCTTCGCTAACGCGAAATGAAGATACTCAACTTCGTTTTAGAGCAAAGTCAATTAAGCATCTTATTCTCATCTTTATAAAAAGCCAAGATAAGAGTTCGAAAAACTTCAACAAAAAATCAACGCGTATACTGTTGAGAAAATCAAAATTATTTTGGGCTTACGCAACGTAGACAACCTAAATGTAAGTCCTGAACCTAACATGAATTACTAGACTCGAACTTTGGAGACTATTTGCTATCAATTAATATTACAAAAAACAGTGGTGGGAATATCCTCTCTGCTTAATTTAAAATTCAATGTTGTGTAGAATTCAAAATCAAAGTTAGTAGCAAGAGTTTTAACCATTGATGTTGTACCCATTCTTAGCTCGCATGTGTGAACCTATGTTAATGTTAACAAGCGTTTCTAAAAGTCAAAGTTATCTAATTATGTGCGAAACTATATCACTATCAGCAAACATTCTAATACGAAACAATGAGTCTGATATTGATTATGAACAACAAGCGCACAATGTGCGCGAGCACAAATTGTTGAATAAACCGAAATACTCCTATTTATTTTCATAGGCTATTACATTTGATAAATGTCATTTAAATTAGGGAAAATTGCAGCAGTGGTCCCTAACCTTCAATTTGTGCCAGCCAAGGTTCCTAATCTTTCAAAAATATGTACCGAAATCCAACTTGACGGAACCGATTATAAAATCGTTAGTTGACCTAAAAAATACAAAAAAATGAGGTATTTTGCTCAATTTAAGTATGGGCATTTTCGTCCATACTAATTTTTCCCTTTAATTTAAAAACAACAATTAAACTAAAAACAAAAGTAAAAATAAAATTCCACCCCACCCCTCTTCTTCATCTAAACCTCCAAAACCAACTAAATATCAAAACCCTAAACCTCAAACTAAAAAGGAAGATCAATCTAACACCAACTTGCTGATAGAGGGCAAAAAGATGTTATAATTATGTACTTTGGGGAGATGTAGAAAGTGCTAGGAAACTTAAGGAGGCAGTTGTCGAGGACGATGGAGACACCAAGTTGGACATACGCGAGTTCCTTGTCGTCATCAGCATCAAGAATAGGTTGTCCAGGGCCCGTCGTTACTCTTGATTCAGGGTGGCCATTTTTTCTTCGATGGAAGTGGGAAATTGTGAACTGAGGGTGGAGATTTGGGTTTTTGACTCCTGTGGTTTTTCAATTTGATCTTGATTTTCTTGTGTTGTTTGTCCAATTAATTGAGTGGGATGAAATTTCGGCGGATTAGGTTGTCGATAATGGTTGCGACCAACGATGAGCTATGGTTTTTCTTGTTTGATGTTGGGTGATGAGTGGAAGATGAGTTTTATTTTCATTTTTCCTTCTTTTTAAAAAAATTAATTTAAATTTTAACTTATTTTAGGGATAATATACAAAGTTACCAATTTACCCCCTTCAATTTTTTTTTATTTTTTTTATTTTTTGTCAACTAACGATCAAATTGATGGTTTCCATCAAGTTGGACTCCATGTGCATATTTATGAAAGTTTAGGGACATTCAGTGGCACAAATTAAAGATTCAGGTAAAATCTGCAAAAATTGAAAATGTTATGGACCCCTGCTACAATTTTCCCTTTAAATTATGAAGAGTGAAGGCTATTGATGTCATTTCATGAACAACCAAAAGAAAATTGAAACCCAAATCTAGGTTCGATTGGTTTTCCCTTGTTCATCAATTTGCTAACTCAGACATTTAACCATATTTCCTCATGTACTAAACAATGTTAAGCCTATGTTTGGAAAGAATTTATAAACGATTGAAATCATAAATAGAAACAAATGAGTAATAGATAAATATATAGTACATGTGAGTACATTAGAATGTGTATTTGAAAATGAAGTTCGATTAATTCATAAACAATTTATAAATTTGTCAAATAGAAACTAAGAAAGGGAGAGAAGCTGAAGGTTTTTTCATTGTAGTGTCACGTATATTGTAGTCAAGATGAACCACACAAGCTATTATGATATCTTACTATACAAAAATAATGCTATTGTTCTTCCATTGATCAAGGATTTCAATTTTCGATAAGTAATAATATATGGTCGTCTATAAAAAGGCCGAAAGACACCTTCCAACACTTGAAAGTTGCTCTTTTTGATAATATTCAGAGATCTATGATTATTTTCAAACACCGCGGAAGAATTTCTATGAAAGGTTTAAATTTGAGAATGTATCGCCTACAAGCATTTAAATCCCAGAATGAGTTGTCACCAATTGCCAATTATATAAGTCTATAATCTTCTACAAATGTTGGTAGAATCTCAAACCCATACTTTTGCATGTAATACAAATGTCTAACAAGTACATCAAATTGTTCAAGAATTGGGGTGGGTTGGGTGTATTTATTTGACAAAAGAGTTGAAGTTTGCCAGTATATGATAGTAAAATTTGTTGAGTGGCTATACAGTGATATAAAAATATCAAAAAGCAAAAATAAATAAATACAATCCACAAGTTATGAACCAGTTCTCTCAGCAAACATTAGACACACAGGAAAACTTTGTAAATCTATTTGCATATGTAACTAAATTTTAGAACAAAAACAGAAATTATTTAAAGAATAAAAACCATATGGTCGTACTGCTATTTTGGTTCAACTTTTGGTGGGAGAGTGTATCCACCACTATACTTGAAGACATCACTCTCATTGGTACCCTTCCTTGGTAGAGAATCATTGTAAGGATGTTTGAGGGCGCCTTTTGCAGATCCAAAGTCTGTGGCAGATGAGGATGCAGATGTTGAATTTGTGTTTAGGCCATCATTTAGTAAAATTGTTTCGAGGGATTTCACAACTTCGCTCATTGTTGGACGGTCTGAAGCTAGTTCTTCGACACATTGCATTGCCAATTCAAGAAACCTTGGGAATCCTATAAGATTTGGGGTGTTTCCAATGACCGGATCCATCATTTCTTTTAATCCGCAGTGCACTTCATCATTTTTGTTCATTGCTAGTCGTACTTCACGTACAATGTATTTTCCTTTCTCAATAGGCAACTTTGCAGTTATCAGTTCAAGCATCACCACGCCAAAACTATAGACGTCACTTTTTTCTGTCAATTGTTGTGTCATGTAGTATTCTGGATCCAGATAACCCTGCGAACAATTATAAGAATTAGATCATGAAGTGCCCTTCTAGTCATCATATGAATATTCTTTTATTATTAGGAGCTATAGTACTCACCAGCGTGCCTTTAACTTGAGTAGAGACATGCCCTTTGGAACCGTCTGACATCGGCTTAGACAAGCCAAAATCTGCAACCTTTGCCGTTAGATTTTCATCCAAGAGGATATTGGTTGACTTGATATCACGATGAATTATTGGAGGATTTGCGAGCTCGTGTAGATAAGATAATCCTCTAGCTGCAGCTAGTGCTGTACGTATCCTCCTCTCCCAACCTAGATGAATTCCACTTTTTCCTGTTCATGACATACAAATAAATTCCATTTGATTATCAAAATTGGCTTTGGTTTGTCCAATGGTAGATTATTGTGCTCAAAACATTATGAAAAAATTCTCTACTTTGCCATAATGAAGGTTCAACAACATACATGAAGTTCTTAAGAAATGATAAGTAACTTCTCTAGTTAATCAGACTGCAAATATGAAGGACATTTTAAATTTTCCAAAACATTATCCGAAAAGTTAGCAAGAAAATTGAAGTGTTCCCATGACAAAAGATGTTCATGGACTGGTGCATTCACAGTGGATTGAATAATTGTGGAGCTCATCGCAGGAGTGGTAGTTATCAAGCACCAAATCCTAACCCTCTAGGTGTTATACTTTATTTTTCATTGTCTGAATTCAAAATATATCGTGCAGCCAAAGTTGCCTGGTATATTATGTGTTATCGAACTTACCGGTTAAACACTCCCTTAGTGTTCCATTAGGTATAAACTCATATACCAACATCTGTTCTCCTTGCTCAAAGCAAAATCCCACAAGGGCAACGAGGTTTTTATGATGAACTCGCGAAAGCAACTCGATTTCAGTCTTAAACTCGAGTCCACCTTGCGTGGAACCTTGTTGAGCTCTTTTGACAGCAACTACCTGTCCACTTGAGAGCATTCCCCTGTACACCTACAAAACCCAAAAACAAATCATATGAGAGATGAGAATAGATCAATGTTCTACAGGTACCAGTTGTTCTTTATTACGAACTTTGCCATAGCCTCCAGAGCCAATCTCATTGCTTTGAGAGAAGTTATTGGTGCATTTCTTGATCTCGTCATAAGAGAACCATCTAGCTCCTTTTAGTTGTGGTGCTCCTCCACTATCTTTGCCACTTGGAGCCCAAGATGCTGGATGCAGGGAATTAAGATATTAAGAAAATTTGGAAAAGGTACCATATCAACAACAGAGCCATGATATCAAAACCCAATACCATTAGAAGTGAGAATTACCAAATGGTTTACTTAATGTTATGGCTTGTTCAGCACGTCTTTTTTGTCGTAGAGCATATGTCGCTAGCCCTGCAAGCACCAGGACCAAAAATGCACAGCCAGTAGCAATCCCAGCAATCACACCTGAGCTAACACGAGTTCCCCGGCGTTCATCTGGACCATTGTTATTATTATTACTAGTTTTTACAGATTATTGAGATGCTGATGAATTGTTTTTGAGCTAGAATTATAAACTGATCAAAATTTACCTGGAAAAATGTACAGATCTGCTATAAAATAGTAGGGTCCAAACTCTTTTGGAGGCTTGTAAGTTTGCCTAGTTAATGCAAAACCAAGTCTCTGAACTTCTGACCTATTGAAATACTTCGCATCGGAAGGAAAGAGATCCAGCTGCACCTGAAGATAGTCGTCAACGTTGAAAAAGGGGATCTGCAGAGAAACTGACACGGGAGAGAGCTCTAGATTCCACCAAAGGCTCATTTCAAGAGAATGGAAGGCACTCGTGTTAGACAATTACCTGAAGGAAGATGCAAACTTTGCGGGTTCAATTTTTCTTCGGGGGAACACAATTTGTTTCCACAATTTGCTAGGCTGGTCGAATAAGGTCTAGCCAACTGTTGAAGATGACAGTAAACTGCATTCTCTGGCGCAGTCTCACACACAGGGTTACCAATTAATCTGAAACACATAAAAAGAGATTCGATGATTAGGGGTAAAACACACATGCCTAGCTGCTCCAATTTCCACGTGTAAATGAAATCTCTTACATTAATGTATTTTTGTATTCAGAACTAAGCGTAACTGATGATATATCATTGTCCTGCAAATCAGTTAGTTGAAGGTTCTGGCTAATGTTACTGCCCATATCTAATTTGTCACTCAAGGCATTATTCTTCAGTTTCCTGTCGGTATTTTACAAGATCAAACCAGTGAGCTTACTTTGCTTCATATGTGGATATATAAAATTATTTGTTTTAACATTGTTGTAGACTTACACTTGCTGGATCTGAGGTAAGCTAAAAACTTCAGGTGGCAGCGATCCCTGTAGCGGTCCATGTTCAATTACCCTAACACCATATCAGATTTCAAAAATGAGATTGTTTTTGGTTCTTGATTTCTAAAGCAAGATGAGTCCTGGGTTTGATAAACTTTCTATGTTTTGCATCAATAAATTACTCACAAAGTAGTTAGAGACAGTAAAGTAGAGAACCACTCTGGAGCTTCTGTTTTCTGAAAAGAGTTGTTGCTCAAGTCCCTGCCAAAATGTAAAACTAGCCAATGTTCATGAACAAAATCAGTCAGAAGAGAAGTATATATTTCTGGACTAGTGAAAAGGTATCTCTTACACATAGGCGAGGAGATTCATTCCAGCTAAATTTGGTAATTTACCAGTCAACATATTGTGAGCCAAATTCCTATACGACACAAACAAAATTTTAGTGAATCATCAATAGTCTCTCCAAGAAATATTAACTTTTTCGTTTGACTGAAAAGTAATACCCACATTTCAGTGATATTTTCGAGGCGGTTGAGGTTTGACGGGACACTTCCTGTCAGGCCATTTCGATCAAGTCGACTGGACACATAAAACAGGGTACACAGTAATAAAGTGATTAAGCAAAAGAGGAAAGTGACGTTGTGTAAGATACAAAAGTTATGAAAGGAGTATACTCACAGAGCCTCAAGTGTCAGAACCTCTCCTATGGTAGATGGAATGCTCCCTTCCAATTGATTCCCATCAAACAGTCTGCCATTTTTTCACCACAAATAAGAATTGAACGATGGTTTCAAGATTAGAACACATGACGTTAGCCTCAAACTTACACATGTATTAGAGACATGTTTGAGCTGAAAAGCTTTTCTGGAATTTCGCCTGATAGCTGGTTTTTGTTGAAATGGCTGCAAAGCTAAAACTTCAGAACACTTGGAGTAGCAAACGAATTAATTATTTAAAGGAAAAACGAACCAACTTGTAAAATTAAATCACACTCACAAGTGTTTTGCCTTTTTAAGACGGTCAAGCCCTGGAGCTACTAATCCTGTTGATACAGGGAGAGACCCTGTCAACTCATTTTCAGCTAGGTCGAGCCAATAGAGTTCGGAAAGTTTGCCAAGGGAATGTGGAATATTCCCAGTTAGGTTATTGGTGTTAAGCGCTCTGCCAAGGCATGTTTCATTTCGTAAGATAAAGAGATGACCTCATAAGAACAGATAAATGAATACGACAATGCCAGAAATTCTTACAGAAAAGATAGGTTTGCAAGGTTTCCCAATTCACTTGGTATATTGCCAGAAAAGCTACACCCTGATAGAATTCTGCAGAAGATATATGGAACTTACATAAAAATCGTGCATATTGATTTCTGTGTCTACCAAAAGAGACGAGTTGAGATTTCTAGTAGTAACGAGTCATTAGATCTTACAATATGTTCAAATTCCGCAGATCTCCTAGCCGTGGAGAAAGGGGACCTGTAAGGCCAGGGTTGAATGACAAGTCCCTGCAATCAATAGCTTAAAATCTTAGACCAAGTGTATATTACTAGTTAGTACAGAAAGGGTTTTTTGATGTTCCTCGACATTCTTCTTGTATATAGTGATGGATATTGTCACTGTAATGCTCGATATCAGAATTGATTAATAGGCCAAGCCTAACGAACAAACTTTAGTTTCAGTATATGAAAGGTGCAAGAGAACTCACAAGGAAATTAGTTCGGTGAGCCCCCCAATATCGCCAGTCATGGTTCCTTTTAGTCCCATTGTCGATAGTCCTCTGAAAATCAAGACATTACCAATTCATGAGCATCAATTGTCTAGTGAAAAACAAGAGAGCGGAAAACCTTTTCCCCCATCCAGGTGTATTTCTGGCACCGATTTGATGTTGTTGACCAAAAAAATAGGAGTACAAGAGTAAGGTATCTTACATTGCAGTGACCCTTAAGGTGGCATTGTTGCAGGTAATACCATCCCAGGCTCCACAAGGATCATCTGATTTATCCCAACTCGGGGGCATGTTTTCCCACTGATCTTTCAATGCTCGGAGTACAGCAGCTGCATCAACATTGATTTTTCATTAACACAACTATACCCTATGCATCAAAAAGAATCTTAAAGAAACTCTATCAATCAAATCCCTTGATTGTGTAAACATTATATAATGATATGATCAAATAATTAGAAGCCTCTGAGAACTTCTTTTGGCATTAACTATCAACAGTTCCTATCGATTTTCTCCTCTCCTCTGAGTTTGTATACAATAGACATTCATGAAGTCACAACTCTCACTTCAAACAAAAGCACAAACACTATGTAGGCAAAACTTTACCATCTTGCGGGTTCGTCCCAGAGTAGATTGCACTGATCCATGACAAGAGAACCACACTGCAGAAAAGCAGCCGGCAGGCTGCCATGGTTGCACTGTCAACAATTGAAAATATAATTCTTTATAAACTTCCTAGAAAACTGATCACACAAAACCCACAACACTCAAGGGATAACACTAAACCAAGACTGATATTTTCATACTAGCTCTATATTATTGCTTTGCACTCAATCCAACCACCATTTTTTCCCACAAAAATCCCAACAAATTATCATGAAGAGAGAGAGAAATACATATAGAGGAAAGCAAAGGAATGAAGAAAAAAAGCTTAAACTTTTTGCAACATACAATGATTAAGCTTGTCTTAGAAGCCAATTCAACACTCGATTCCCCACTAACTGTGGAAAAATCATCAATGTTTTGGCACTCTACAAGCATGACAAAAACAAGATAAATGTAATGATGACATTTGTTTAAAGAATAGAAGTCTTACAATTTTCTCCGCCGGCCTGCCGGCCATGTTAAAAACTAAACTGTACAACAATGACAGCCCTTCTTCCTAAACAACAATATGCATTACGACAAAATGGTATTCGCTTAAGAATCTTCCATTACCACACCGCTGTCCTTGCTAATTTATTTTCTTTGATGGCATTATAATATTGAGAAAATGAAATTTTGAATAATAATTTTGTTATGGAATTTGTGATTAAAAAGTACCAAAAAATTTTGAATACTTTATTATATAAATATGCATAAAATAAAAAAGTTGGAATAATGATTGTCAAATGGGTTTTTTTTTTTTTCAAAGAACATATGAGTGTCGGATGAAGGGCAAAGGTCTTTAACAAAATAATTTTATAGTGATTTTTTGTTTTAAATTTAAATTTCACTTATTACATTCTTGTCCAAATAAATCATTTCTAACTTTAATTAATGAGAAATTTTAAATTAAAATATATAAAAAGTGTGAATAAGTGATAAATATTTGATTTCCCATTTTGTTTCACATTTTATTGTTTATCATAAACAAAAAATAACCTTATGCAACATAATAATAATTAATTATAATTATCGATTGCAAGAGTGGAATTTGGGTGGAAAGAAAACGAATTACACGGAATTGAGTTGTCTAGAATTGTTTTCTTGGGAATTGTCAATTAATTGTATTTGATTGGTATAATTTTTTATCTGAAAAATGTTGAAATTTTGAATCTTTTGGTGTTCGTTTGACTTTATTTTTTATGAAAATTGTCCATTAAAAGAAAAAAAAATTACAATTGTCCATAGAATTTGTGTTCATTGCCATAAAAAATTTAAAATAAAAAATAAAAAAGCTGAAAACCATTTTCCCACCAAAATGGTGAGAAAATCAATTCAACAAAAACATGAAAAAATGAGTCATGTGGGTGTGGGAGGAAAATATTTTCTATGGAAAATTTTGACTATCAAACATTGCAAAAGTGAGAAAAAAAGGGTCTATCAAACAAGCCCTAAATGTTTCCATTTTGATTCATTTTATTTTTGGCCTTTTATTTTTCCAATTACATTTCATGCCATTTTATTTAGTTACTTGCGTGTACAGAAGAAACTTTTATCAATTTGATGGTACATGGTTCTATTTCTTTATATATGTGTGTGTGTGTAAGATTGATAGTTGGGTTTTTGAATTGTTAAAGATATATTCGAGCATTGAAATTTGATTTGTGATTAGCAACTTTGAGTTTGTGACCCGTGAAAATGGAAGTCATATTATGGTGATTGTTTGAGTTCAAATTTGAATTTAGATTGTTAATTGTAACAATTATAATCACGCTTGTCAATATTCGTTTTCACATACTTTTAATTGGTACTGATTATTTAATTTTTGCACTTGTTCAGGTATTCAAAGTGAATATCTCGGGGGTCACGTTAAGGAAATTACTAATTAATTTTGTTAAATATTGACTATAGTAGGATAAATTCAATGTTGGAAGCTAATGATGAAAATAAGTGTTAATCGGTCAAAAATGACTAAGAAGAATAATAGTATAAGTCTAGGGACTAAATTGAAAATCTCCAAGACTTGATTTGTACCGAGGATGAACCATTGAGGATGATGTGGATCAAATAAGAGACAATTAAAAGATGAAACTCATTTTCAAACCAGGAAAGGAACAGAGAAAGGAATTCACGGACTAAAATGAGAGAAAGCAAAGAAGAAGGTCATGTGATCACAATGAACCTTCCATGCGATCGCAAGGTAGTCAGAATGAATTCCTGCAACTACACAAATAAAGCCACGCAATTCAAACTCACTTTTAACCTACTTTGCAGACCAATTTCAAGAGACCAACCCTTAGAGGGAGAACAAGAGGCAAGATACAGGAATACACATTTATACACTCAAATTGATGGTTACTACTTGAATTTTGAGTGAAGATGAAGAAGATACATGTAGATTGTTCAAGGACTGAAGAAATTCAAGATTTTTCCCTTTTTCTATCTACAATTAAAATTCAGATGATGTTTCAATATCCAGCGCCCGTTTGACAACTATTATTTGAAAACTCTTTTTTATACGTATTCATTTTCAACAACGCGTATTCATTTTCCTTACTTTTTTATCACACATTCTCTTAAAAATCACTATTTATATCATTATTTTTCCCAAACAATGGTCGTCAAACAGGGGCTCAATAATGTATTTTTGTAACTTTATGATGCTTGGCTAAATTTCTAGTTATCAGGATAAAGATGACCCTTTGTATGATTTAATTCCAACTACAAGACTTTGACGTTTGATGTTCGTTTAGTTTGAATCATTGTTATGGTTTTAATGCTTGCAATTACTTAGCTAATAATTGAACTGGTTTGTAATCTTTACTTTATTCTAGAGAAAGAATTTGAGCATCCGATAGCGATCATTGCAGGGTCCAATATAGGATAGATATATACCTATATATCTTACATGATTTAATAGAATGTCAAGTTATTAAATGCATCAATACATGTTCGTAATCTTCGTAGAGATATATCAAAAACGTTATTATTACAAGTCTGAGAGATCAAAAACGTTAGTAAGTTTGAGAGGTCTTGTAATTTGGAGTGTTACTATTACAAGTCGAGATCATTGTATCTTGGAATATGAGTGTCGGAATGTCGTCTCACCAGTGGGCATTACATTTTAAGGAGAGATAGTCGAATCTTACCTCGACTATTATTATTTTGTTCCGTTCATTTTGAAAGCTGATATTTTGCCCAATCGATTATTCACTACACAAGATTATTTTAAATTATAGCAAGGTAAAATAATTATTTGCCAACAATCTTAAGACGATAATATCAGGTAATACTACATATGTCGTACCTCCTAACAATGCTCACGGAGAGAAACATGAAAAATTCACGGAAGTGGATTTTAAGAGATGACAACAGAAATTATTTTTTTTATCTCACAACTCTGAATTTGACAAAATTCTTGAGTGAAGATGCTCCAATTGTTGAGGAGGAGGAAACAAATCCTCAAAAATGAGCAGCATTTGATGCATGGAGTCATAGTGACTTCTTGTGCAGGAACTACATCATCAACTGCCTTGATAGCCCCCTATACAGCGTATACATTTCAATCAAGACAGCTAAATTACTGTGAAAATCATTGGAAAAGAAGTACAAAACGGAAGATGCCGGATTGAAGAAATTCGTTGTAGGTAAAATTCCTGAACTTCAAAATGGTAGATTCTAAAACAATGATAAATCGAGTTCAAAAGTTACAAATCATCTTGCATGATATGCATGCAGAATGTATGAAGCTCTTTGAATCATTTCAGGTCGCTGTGATTATCGAAAAATTACCACCGATGTGGAAAGATTTCAAGAATTAACTTAAATATAAATACAAGAAAATGAGATTTGAAGATCTGATTTTAAGATTAAGAATTGAGAAAGATAATCAAAATTCTGAAAAGAAATTTGGAAAGCTGCAAATGGAGGCTAAAGTCAATTTGGTGGGTCCAAATACTAGCAAGAAAAGGAAGCACTCGGGTAATGGTAAGCAAAAGAGTAAGGCCAAAAAATTTAAAGGAGATTGCTATAATTGCGGTAAACCTGGTCACATCGCAAAGGACAGCCAACAAGCAAAACAAAAAGGACCAAGTACACTTGATCGAAGAAGACAAATTGTCTAATGGTGTATATGAACTAATGCTTCCAGTTGTTGTATTTGAAGCAAACATGTTGGACAATCCGAGAGAATGGTTCGTGGACACTTCGCTACTTGTCACGTTTGTTTTCATCTTACACTCCTATCAATGGACAACAACTATTTATGGATAACTCGACAATATCAAAGTTGTTGGTCTAGGTAAAATAGTGCTGAAGATGATATCGGGGAAAGAAGTAACACCCATCAATGTGCTGCATGTTCTCGATATTCACAAAAACTTGGTATCTGGAGCTTTATTAAGCAAAAATGGGTTTAGACGCAAGGGATACTTAGCTAATGGGCTATTCAAAATAAATGTAATGCATGTACTCCGTAATTTTGATATTAATAAAAATAAATCTTCTACTTATTTGATTGAGTCTTCTTACTTATGACATGATAGGTTATGACATGTTAATGTTAATACTTTACGTAAATTAGTAAATTTAGATTTACTGCCGTCTATTTTAATTGATCAAAATCATCGATGCGACACATGTGTAGATGCCAAATTAGCCAAAACACCGTTTCATTCAGTTGAAAGGAACTCGAATCCTCTAGAACTAATTCACAATAATATTTGTGATTTAAAATTTGTGCAAACTAGAAGAACTAAAAAGTATTTTATTACTTTTATAGATTGTTGTATAAGGTACAGTTATATCTATTTGTTAAGGAGCAAAAATAGTGGGAATATATATATATAGGAGTAAAAAGGTTTAAAAATGATATGAGGCCTTAGAAGCATTTAAGCGGTACAAAAATGAGGTTGAGAATCAACTAAGTAAAAGAATAAAAGTTGTTCGTAGTGACAGATGTGAGGAATATGGAGCACATTTTGAAGAATTTTGTTCAGATTTTGGGATTATTTATCAAATTACAGCTCCTTATTCACCTCAGTCGAA